TGTATGTGTGTGTATAGGTGTACGCATATCTATATATTTATGTATGTTGTCTTGTGTTTTCTTGGTTTATGTTTCACATATCTTTTATAATCTCTCAATCTAAAAAAAAACGAAATATTTGTCTTTATTGAGGGATACATGTTAGTATCCCTCAATAAAGACAACATGTCTAAGTTGGACTAAATGCAATCCTTCGATCTCAAGGTGATTCTTTTACATTTATTTTTTTCCAAATATGGCAACATAAACATTACAAAATGTTTAACTGAACTGAATTCAAAACAGAAAGAATCAGAATTCCTGTATGGCTATTCATTTTGTTGTGCTATCCCAAGATTGTTAGTGTCCCCCATCTGGTCACCTCTTTGTAAACTTTACTTAATTTACTGTAGTATTTTTAACTTCTGAGTAGACTGATGTTTGTCAGATTTGAAAATGGCAACCACTAAGTGCAAGATGACAGGTACAAGGCAGGAGTACAAAAAATCAAAGTGTTGAAAGTACACATTTACCAGCACTCCAGGTGAAACCAAGAAAGTGTTATAGTGCAATATGACTAATGGACACAAGGGTCTGGCTCCAGAGCAAAAAATAAATAAAAAATCTGAAAGCAATTTGTGGTTGAAAAGTTAGATATTCTGGTTACGACCCAACAAAACGATTGGTATAAAGTAAAAATATTAGAAATGTCTGAACCTAGTCATGGTGTAAAATTGGCATGTTTAATCAAGACACACAAAACAAAATGTCTGCAAAAATCAACTCCTTGAAAAAAAAAGTGTACATTTTTATTTTTCAGTCAGTTAAATGTTTCCATTCCTCTGCATGCAGGGGAGAAAAAAATATCCAGATCTTTCTTTGGGTTCTCGTCCTTTTTTGGATTCAACTCTTGGCTTCCAGTCCTGTGGCTGGGCATAAATATCTGACTGGTGTTAGGTTTGTGGATGTAAGACCCAGGGAGCAGGCCTCACAAAATTGATTTATTTGCGAAGAAAAATGCTGACAGGACAGCAGAAACACTCACTTTCAAAGCCCACAGAGGGCAAACCAAAGGGGCACAGAAAGCACGATGAASTGGCAGGTCGAGACAAGCCAGAGAAAATTAAGAGACACTAACGAACTGACAATGGAAAACACCCGGGGAGAGGATCAGGTGTGCACAGRGACATAAAGACACTGGGAATAAAGAAACACTAGAAAGACAAGAAATTTGACACAGAGAAGAAATAAGGATGGAATTCTACTGATTGGTTTTATGATTTAAGTTGAGTGTGATTGTCTTCTGTGAGTGAGGGCTATAAWTGGCTAATACACTGGCATCATTAACCCTTTCTGAGCTAATACCTGTCCTGGATGGTGTATGTTTTTAAAATAATTCGACATTGCAGGACAAATGAAATGAGCTTGCAGAAGTTTAAGGAGCCATCAGATAACAACTGCCTTAAAATAGCATTTTTTTTTTATCAATCATGTTCACGTTTTTATTTTAATGTGAAATGGCTTGAACTTTGTGTTTTTATCCATTAACTTAAGGCAAAATGCAGCATTCCAACCCAAAACCCATTTTCCAAAGTAAAGGCAGTTATCTTAATTATTAAAAAAATACTACCCCTCCCCTTCATACAAGGTAAATTACAGGAAAGAATGTTTTAAACATGATAATATCAACTATTATGTCCATTAACRTGATGCTGCTGACTGAATGCACCATCATATTTGTGTGCRTTATAGCTGGTACGCTCACTATTGAATGACTTTGTTTGTTTTTTAATCCTCTCTGGGATGGTAGCRTCTCTGCCTTTGATAATATTTCTGGGAAAAAAATCAGTTTCATGTCAATCATTGAGTTAAMTTCTCATTCTGGTCACACCTCCGTTCCTCTGGTTTCTGCTCAGTCAACAAGCTGMAAAGAAGTGGAAAAATGTCTTCCTAATTAGTTGATTGCTTTTGAAGAATATAAGCATAACCTAATAAATATGCTGAGCTTTAATAAATAAATAAGCCATTTTAAATCATGTGGGTGGTTGTTTTGAAAATCCTTAGTCCACATTATGTATACTGTACTAAGAAAGGCATTTTATTGTGTCCTGTTGCTTTCTCTAAACTCATCTTCTTTTTCTTTTTCCTTTTTTTTTACCTGTTTTTCATTCCTACAAAGCTTTCATTGTGRGTTTTTTACCTTTTGGCCTAAATGCTCCAAACCCTTCTATTATCCAGTCGCACAYCGTGTTAAAGTAAAAGGCATTTATGCTAAAGTCCAATGCTATCTGGAAGCTACCCACTAACTATAAAAATAAAAAGATATTCAGCATGAAAGAGAGTGCTTCACTTCCTTTCCAGAGAATGACTGGAGCTCCATCTGAAAAGCCAGGGGCAATCAGATCTTGGCAGGATTGTTGATAAGCCTTTTGTCTACGGTCGCCGTTACTATTACAGCTTTTAGCTGCAATTTRAAATGATGCCAATAATGGGTTTGAYGGTCGTTTCCCTGGATCATTCAATTAAACAATAAGTAATTAGTTGATGCTTTTTTAAAAAAGAATCTTGCCTTTAGTGGAAATTAGTCAGTGTTCCAGAAAAAGTAAATTAAAGAAAATAGGACTTCGTTTGCCTCTGAGCATCATCATCTATTCATTTTCTTTACTCACTTTTCCATGCAGGGTCATGACGTCTGTCAGCAGTCACAGTGCGAGAGACGGGGTTCACTGGACAAGTCACAAGGCCATCGTGGGGACACAAGGAGACAGAGACAAGCAACCATTCACATTCTCGCCCACATCTAGGGAGAATTTAGAGTTGCAAATTAACCTAACATGTTTTTGGTCYGTGGGAGGAAACTGTTGTGATGGACTTGCAACCTGTCCAGGGTCTACCCCTCGCACAGTGACTGCTGGGCACCAGCGAACCTCCCATGAGCAGGAAAGGAAGAAGTGGGTAAAGATAATGAAAGGATGGATCTTTTTTTCCTGCTCCACTGTACTACCCAAAATAAATGCAGTTTTATACACTACCTGGTTTAATAAAAATTTTGCCACCTGGACTGAATGAAGGTCAATGATGTGGGGTTGCTGCAGTTGGTCAGGTCCAGGTTCAGCAACAGTTTATGCTCAAAGAATGAGGTCAGCTGATCTGAATAAACTGAATGACCAGGTTATTCCATCAATGGATTGTTTCTTCCCTGATGGCACGTAGGCCTGTCACGATAACAAATTTTGCTGGGCAATTAATTGTCTCACAGATTATTGCAATAAGCGATAATAT